ACAAGTTAATATCAAATGACAAGGACATGCTATTGATCTCATATGACCCCTTCATGAATGGTTAAAACACTGATCACACTGTCTAGTCTACTGGCTTCATTCTACGGTTTCAAAAATTGGTTACCAGGGGTTTTATTAACATTTTCAGCAGGAGTGCTACTGGTTTTCACAGGCAGTTAAAACTATTTTAACTGAATTTCTTGATAAGAAAAACCTTTCATTAGATAGACGTCAAACCAATTGGGCAAAATAGTCCTTGCAGCCAGTCAATTTGCAGGGTGCCTGGCCCTTAATGAAACCCCTGGGTCAACCATACAAGTAACAAGAATAACCGTCATGTGATCATTATTTTTTGAAGCCATGGAATAAGAGGAGTTGTACATACATGTAAGTTAAACTTAGCAGGCTGAAATCTAAGCCTTGTAATGAAAAAGAGAAAGATAAACCCCAAGCACATGTAAAACATGAACTGCACTCTTCCCCAGGCCACAAAGTTAACAAGAATGTATTAAGGATCACATTAACTAGGGAATATGTCGTGGGGGTGTGAAGAGACAACAAGCTCCTCATCTGTATGCGTAGGATGCACATTACTGAGGCAGTATGCAAGCTGGTGCACACAAAGAAAATATTGGTTCATTTCTATGTTGTAACAGGGACAGTTTACAAGAGCAGTGCATATATATCTTGTAGTTCAAAATGAAATTCAGGTTAAAATGATTTTAACCTCGTGTGATTCTCAATTTCATTTGTCTTCTAACCCCAATTATTCATGATCCATGAATAATTAGGGTTAAGAGACAAAGGAATTTCATTTTAACCTGAATTTCATTTTGACCTACAACACATACGATGCAACATCTAAAACTTATATCATTTTGTACCTGGTTCATGACACACAAACTCAAACCAGCTGAATCTTATGCTACATGTTGCAAAAACGAGGAAAACAAGTCCTGTTTCAATTGTCCAGGATATAATTCATGTTAGGCCACCCATATAGTCTCCCTGCAGTTTGCTTCTATTTACTGCCGTTTGCTTCCAGTTAGCATTTAAATATTGTGTTTGCTTGCGGTTAGCATTTATTTACTGCTGTTTGCTTGCGGTTAACATTTAATTACTGCTGTTTGCTTGCGGTTAGGATTTAAGGGGTGAAGGGGAAGGCAACTATATGTGGCCTACCATGAATTATATGCCAATTGTCCCTGCAACCTAATTCTCCTAGTGTGTGTCGACCTTTAGTCATTTGGTGTTCAAATGAATACAAGGGTTTGATTTGTTAAGAACTCTTGTTGCAACATCTTGTTCTTAAATGATCCAGCCTTAACCCATTGACCCCTGTGCCGCCCGTAACCAGCTGTGACAAGCCTTGGCCTTTGTTCCACTTCTGGCATCATCATCTTTGACCAAAATTGACATCATCTATACTCAACTTCTGCAGGAGGAAGAGATCTTTCCAATGATACCCAGATCAGAGTGACTGGCTCAATTTGAGCCTGAAATATGCACAAAAGTGCTCAGAAATTTGAGTGAAAAACTCAGAGCAAAGTTTCCTGCGACTACAAGTGGTTACTGCATGGTAAAAATTGCCCGTCTTGATGATGCTTTCTCAGAATTTTTTGAACTGGAACCAAGCCCAGTAGAAGGTCAATCACTGCAGCAAAAAGATAAGAAAAGGAGAAAAAGGAAAGGCAAAAAAATGAAAAAAAAAAGAAAAGCGTAAAGATGTAGGTCTCTTTCTCATCCAAAAAATCTCAAAATTTTGATTTCTGCACATGCCCCAGCAAAAATGTTGTAAAATGCCATGCTAGTGGAAAGAAAGGCATGCTGTCATGTTGCAAAATGCATTTTTGAGTAGATTGGAGCTAATTTGACCCATATCCAGCCTGAAAATCTCCAAAGTGTCCAAAAAATGCGTTTTAGACAAAAAGCTCTGAGAGTCATTATGGATTAATGCACATTAATTATCACACAGACAACATGGTTATTACACTAAGAGCATGTTAGTAAAAACTGAGAGACATCTACCACCGATTAATATAATAAAGAGTTGATAATTAGCTAGGGAGGAAGAATTAGGAAAGCAGAGTGGCCGAGTAGTTTAGGGTGCTGGATTTGAAATCTGGAGGTCCCTGGTTCAAATCCTCCACCCCACTGTTATATAGATTTGTTCTCACTAGTTACGAGTTCAACTCCTCTACCACATTGTGTAAATAGCCAACTGATCAACTGATATAGTTTATGTTCTATTTGTAATATTTTTTTATTTATTTACAGAGTCCCCAATTACTGTAGCACAACCGTGTAAATACAGTACTGTTATAATTATTTTTTCATTATTATAGCTGTAAAGAGGTGCTAAGAGTCAAGTCGTACCTATGTTGATGAAGAGGATGATGGCAAACGTGTAGTCTGGCGTATCTTTCTTTAGTTCCACTAATCTGTCAATTGTGAGACCAATTGCGATCAACACATTTACTACAGATATGATAAGAAATGCCACCTCATCGACCTCCAGCCCAGCAAAGGTTTTCACCTAAAAACATCAAAGTCATGTAACAAAATATTAACATGTGCAAACTAAGCATGCTACAAGCACGAATGGCACTTAATGTCAAGGCAAATTGCTCATTCTCACATAGGCTTGATTTTCAGCTTCTGTTCAGGAAACAAGCCCGCATTCCTCTACAAAGACCAGAAGCGGGAGAGTGGCGGAAATCAAGCCTAGTTCTCACACAGCTGGCAAGTAAAACACATAAGCCCTGCAAAACCCTGTATGAGACCCTTCAGAGCATGGTCGTGCTGACCATTTACCAGCATTGGCTTGAGTCAAACTTTACCTAAATTACATTTAGCCATATAAAAAGTATCATTATCTCCCTTATCCCCATAGAAGGACAATGTTGGTTTGAATCCCCCCTCTCCCACCCCCTCTGGAAATTCCAGTTAAGCATCATTCGTTTCTGAGACCCCTCTCCCTCTTGAAATTTCAAATGACCTTCCTAGGGGTGGGTAAGGATAATTGTTTCTCAGAGAACAACACAATTATTATCAAGTATCAAATATATGTCATTTAGACTGAACTACAGTTAACACAGAAAACATAATTATTAACCAATATAATAAGCACTTTTCAATTCAAGAATAATGCTGCATACTTAAACGGATCATTTTATGTTTTCAGTTAACTTGTCAACCTTCTGCTTAAATTATTTCATATCTTTATAAAACTATATTTTCATGTCAAATATAGCTATCCTACTTTTCCACACTTTTCAACTGAAATTGCATAGGAAGAAATGGCAAATTTCTGTGACCTAAATAAATTATGTTCCTTATAACAATGAGCGTTCATCTGAAACTGAATTACCATTGCACTTCACTTTCCAAAAAAAAAAATTAAAATTAACTTTATTTGCTGTGAAAGTGGAATGTTTTGATATTCAGTCTTGCATTCTGTGTGTAGACAGAAAAAACCTGGTATCACAACATTTAGAATATAACGCAAATATTTCTTGTATGAAGCATCAGCAAGCTTGTACCGAGGCATCGGGGTAGGGTCCGGCGGGTGGGATAAAGAAGCAGGGAACTCTGACTATGGGAGGCACAGGATGAGGGGGCAGAAAGTGGAAGTGGAAGTTTGGATAATGAAATCCCTTCAACTTCACTGGCCTTTGCATTTATACAGGGATGTGTCTTGGCGATCGAATGGCAAAAAATACAATTTTCATAGACTCTAAAGTGAGCCAGTCATGTGAGCTTTACGTCTAAGATTATGTTTTGACTAAAAGAAGTAAACTTATAAAATTGCAAATATTCAATTATAATAATGGTTATGTAAATATCGCAATCGAAACAGCACATACATCGACCTACATGGCTACAAAATACCCAACGAAGGAGTTAAGTTATGTTAGGTTACAAATCCATGTAAACAGCAGAAACAGTCGTGCTTCCACCGATCCCTGCATGTGTAGTTGGTATCATGAATGGATATATTGAAAATTACAAATTTGATTCACCTTTCCAATCGTTGTAACAGTCGTTTTCTCTTTAAGACTGTCTTCAGAGCATCTTAAGCTATCTGTTTCTTGCTCATCTTCCCGAACAATCTGGTCACGAGAGCTGAACATCCTAACAAGCACCTTTGCTCTTCTCGGTTTCCCAGGCAGAAAAAATCGTGCAGCTTTCAGTGCAGCAACAACATTTCGTGACGAGCGTGACTAGTCACGTGGATAAACCAAACCAGATCCCAGGCGGCTGACTACAACGTGGGTCCGCAATGCGTTCATGTCTGAACATGATATCGCCTTGCCAAAACGTGCAGCTTAGGAATATTATTGTATCACTTTTCATCATTGTCATATCATAATTATAAGGAAAATCTTTCCTTTATCACCTTTCCTGGATCGTAAGGTAATGTAGATAGGGGCTTCAAAGGACGCTTGCAGTCAAAATATTTAGGTATTTTCTTAGATGAAGAATACAAAAGCAGAAACCGACGCAACGTAGGATGATTTTTTGAAGGTCCTTCTTCAGGTACAATGAGAATTTTACATTGGGACGTGTTTTTATGTGGCCGATATTTTCGTAATACCGGGAATACGTAAAGCTAATTGACAGTGTAAATTAAAGATAAGCAGACGGTAAAATAAAAGAACATAATGAAAGAACATAATAAAAGGAAACAAATGGAAACAATTAATATGTTTCTTCACGGATGTTCAGACCATCAGGATCAATTGTTCTGCCTTTTTGAATTAAA